AAGTCAACTATTAGAAACTCCTTCATTGGTTCACGAGATCACCATCTAGCAGCAAATTTTGTAATGTTTCGAAAAAAAAAAACAGTATGACATAACGAAGCCTCGTTTGCTGAAGCCACGTGACTTGGTGAGTTTGATTCAAGCTTCACGAAGCAGTGTTTTGCTGATAACAGATTTATATACTCTCGCTACAAACATGTAGCACGTCGGACTACATATATATTTAAACCACAGCTTTTGCGATTTGATAACTGTACTACTTACTAAGTTCTCACAACCATGCATAATTAAAATAACAATTTTACACATTTTCAAATATTTACCAACGTGGGTTTATACTTTCTTTTGGCTAGTGTTAATCTTAAACCTTGGTTGAGATACTAAGGGTATCCCGCACATAGCCGCTAGATGGCGCCGCTAGCTCGTGCAGTGCTGTCTGAAGCAATTTATGCATTAATAAATGCATTTGAAAACCCAGCATTGTGCAGTTTTAGTAACTGCATCCCTGGAAAATGGACATAGTTTAAGAAAAACTTTAAATAAGCATGAAAAGAGGGGTTGTGTTCCACGAGTTTGTCTTTGTAAAAATGATCAAGTGTTGTTCGATCAGTCATTGTTCGGTTTCCAGCATTGAACAGCGTTCAAACTCCCCACAGCCAATCAGATGTGAAGATCTTCATTTACGGGCGGAGTCGTAATTGGCCACAAACCAATCACACGTCTCCTTGACGGCTGGAAAAAAAGCAAAGCTTCTATAAAGATTCTTTTTTTTTATACTACTATTGGAAAAACATTTAGTAATTGCATGTGTGTGTGTGAATGATCACCAGCTCTGAACGGCGTGAACTTGAAGTCTGGCAGGTATTTGCGTAGTTTGGCATTATTGGCGGTTTTCTTGAACTGACCGTCTGCTTTACTAGTGTCATACTGAGAGAGCTTAGTTAAGGTTCATCTGTTTAGAGAGTTTGTTCACCCCAAAAGGAAAATTCTGTCATTCAAGGTCTCCTGTTATGATGCTTATTGTGTTTTTTTGTTTGTTTATGCGTGAAAGGATACGATCACATCACCTTCAAAGCCCAACGCTTCAACCACAGCATCCGCAGCAAACTTTATGGACAATTCATCCTCCTCTCCCACTAGAGAGAAACAAACAAAGACAGAGAAACAAATACGGTATCTCGGATTCTCAGGAGCACACATTTAAGTAAATATGCATATGTATTGAAATTGGTTTATATCAATATATACTAAAATTCTACTGATATGACAATAATGTGTTTAAAGAAATTCAATAAACATTACTGTGCCAATACTAGTAAAATCTATATACTTCTGAGTTAAATATATTAAATAATGTTCTTAGTCTTTGCTTACACAAGTTTAAATGCTAGATACGGTTGATTGTCTAACCTTGACTAAATATTAATAGTATCCAGAAAAAAGATTGTATGCATAATGCAGGACTTTTAATTATTAAAAAGACTGGAATACACCGGGACTTTTATTTTGAAATGTATATGCTTACGACATCTAGCTATTCATTTAAAAAGATGAAGGAATTTTAAAACAAGCACTCTTACCGTCATCCACAACATATTACAATATAAACAGCATAAATTAAACAGTCATTATTCATCAACAGTAAATCATAAGCAATCGCTTGGCATAAATGCGCGACATTCAGCCTGACATTCACTTTGAACGTGCTGACATTTGTTCAATTAACTCATTGACTTTTGAAATTTAATAATCTACCACAGAATTCGTTTCCACGACGGAATAAAATAATTTGACTTTTTTCTTAGAATTCTAAGTTTACATCTTGCAACTTAATTTTTTTCTCCGAATTCTGAGTTTTTGTTGTGGCACTTTTCGATTTCAGTGAAGGTATGAGACAAAAGTCTTTTGAAGAGTTATTTTCTCGCTAGAAAATGTCTACAGTCATAACAGTCATTCAAGCTGCAGGGTGTGACAAATGAAAGAACACTTTAACTCCGTATTTATACCCTAATAAAACCAGGATGCTTCCATCTCATCCAATCATAATGCATATTCAACATATGTGTTCATTTAAGGTACAGTATCTAACTATGTCTCCTGGATGCATTTTCTAAGTTTTTAATGCAACTCATTTTCTTAGAAATGAGCACTTCTCGTTTCACTACACTCACTCTCTCACTCACACACACACACACACACACACACACACACACACTGTTGGTCTTTTAGCACATCAAAATAACTCCAGCATACCGATGAAGCAATCAGACTGTCTAAACAACACTCTTTTGTAAAGTAAAGCAAATAATACCGATAATAATAAAATTTCCCTCACAGTTTACATCTCACAATATCACATTTTTCATCAGTTTACATCTCACAATTTAGACTTTTTTTCCCTCAAAGTTCAGAATATACATATTGCAATTGTTTTTTTTTTCTTATGAAATAAAATATAAAAGCTAGTTGCGACTTTTTAACTCATAATTATTTTTCATCGCAATTGCGACTTTATATCTCAATTCTTTTCGTCAAGACTTTTGAGAAGTTTTTTAGCAATTTTGAGGGGTGGGGGGGACATTTAAGTAATTTTTATAAATGTGCCTTAGAAAAAAAACATTACTGGTGTGCATCTTGAGACAAAACAAAGGCACTGATAGATTTAAGATCAGTCAGTGCAAGTTTCTTTCATTTGAAACAGCTCAGATTTACATTTTAGTCTGGGACTAGGCTTAAGCTTTGTGAAACAGTGGGAAAATTTTTTTTTCATTCCTTGGCAGAAACAAGCTTTCATAATCACATTAGGCTATAACGATTCCTGTTCCCTAATTTAAGATCTTTAAAAATGATATTTAAGAGTTAGCTATGTCATTTAAGATATTTAAGACTTTTTATGACCTTAAATCAAACAGAATATTTCAGGACCTGTGGGAACACGGTGTCAAACACAGCTGGAGTACCTGACAGAATGATGGGCTCCACCTCGTCGTACTCCCTCAGAACCCACAGAAACAGACGAGCCAGATCCAGAGAATAGATGAACTGCCGCAGAGCGCGGCCCGAACCCCAGACCTGCAGAGGTTTACCTTCCTCTACGACACAAACACGCAACATTTACCCTGTGAACATGTGAGACGCTCTGAATGTGATTGTGAGTTAAACGTGTCTCACTCTTCGCCAGGTACGTCTTGTGGATCAATCCTGGCAGGACATGTCCGTCCTCAATGTTGTAGTTGTCATGGGGTCCGAATACATTTGTGGGGATGACGGCTGTGTATCGCTGACCGTACTGCTGAAAATACGTCCTAATGGGCAAACACACACACACACACACACTGGTTTTTAAACTTATGAAACATATAAACAAACATTTCCCCTATAATTGAATAATAATAAATATATTGTTTTCATGACAATTCATCACAAAATCTCATTACTATAGTAAAATACATTTTATAAAACAGAGAGTTCCGGTCCTTGATTCTGATTGGCTGAGCCGCGTTCGAAGCTGTTGTAAATTACTCTACAAACATACACCTTTGTTTACATTTGTGTAAAACCACTTTGTTGCAACCACAACGGTTTCTGAGGAACTACATTGTTTGGTGGAAGAATACTGTTTTTATTAATATCATTAAACTTTATTTGCTCTGTTTTATTTTGTGAAACCTTACTACATACATGGAATAACCGTTTTATAAAAGCAATAAGCCCCGTGAAGCCGTGGTTTACAGTGAATTTATAACAGCTAAGCAGCATTGTTAAGTATGACGTGAAGCGGAGTCTAAAACATTCTTAGCTGTTATAAATGTACTGTAAACCACGGCTTCTCGGGGCTTATTGCTTTTATAAAACGGTTATTCCATATACGTAGTAAAGCTTC